CAGAGTATTTTTTAACACAAGTATCTGTACTTTTACTCAAGTACGGAAAGTGAGTACTTTTGCCATCTCTGCCTGTCATAGCAATACTAGTTTTTAAGGGAACATCAACAACAAAATCACCAAGTCAGAAAGAAAAGGTTTTCTACAAACAAACATTTCATGATAAAAGTTGATAGTTTCTATATTCTAGAGGGAACAAAATGTACAATTCTTTAAAATATTTTACGACACAGTTTTATCTTCTCTGCTCTTACATTGAGTAGATTCTGCAGATCTTGAGAGATGGCGGTCACTCTGTCCACATCCTCCTCCTTTTGTTTCAGGTACTTCATCACTTTCTAAATGCAGAAATGTTGGATTAATCTTTGAGATACTAATTAATGTGAATAATCTGTATGCAGATGGATAATTAATTAAAATAAAGAAGTTCTTGACAACCAATCAGAGAACTTTCCTACCTCTTGGGAGCTCTGCTTTGCCGTCACCTGCGACACTCCATCACTGGTGTTTATATTATTTGTTGGCAGGTTGTCCAGGGAAGAGTGGAGGTATTTGCACAAGCTCTGGAACTCCTGGTACTTTGATGAAGCCTCTTGTAAAATGTTCTCTCTGAGGGGAGTATCACACGACCGTATTGTGCCGATTTTTCTTATTGGACTTTTTCCTTTTATGTTATTTCTTCTTAAAATATCAAGTTAGAAAATCCCAGTTTTGCTTTTTCTTAAAGGATATTTTGAAAAATATACTGTCAAAGGTTTTAAATAATAGCAACAATATTTATAAAACCTGCTTTTTCTAGTCCTTATTTATCAAATTGATGATTGACTCTATGCCATTTAGCAATACACTGGGACTGACCTGAAGTAGCCTCAGTTTGACTCACCTTTCCTTTAGCTGGTTGGTAACATTTGCGTAGCGACTCTGCAGCTGCTTGACGTCCCTCGCCTGGCGTTGGATGTCTGGACAGTACTCCTGGTAGCTTTGCTGCAGAGAGCTGCAAAAGTTCTCAGTGGCCTCCAGATCCTCATCCAGTTTTATCATATCGTCCTGGATCCTTGCAGCAAACCTCTGCTGGCTCTAAGTACAACAACAGAGATTTACAAGCTAGAATGTACCCTACGTTGCCGAAAAGTATTCCATCACCTTGCAAATCTTTGAATTTAGTTTTTCTAGCTTATGCTGTAGTCACAGCTGTATAAAATTAAACAGGTCATCCAGAATGCTTCTATAAACAATTGTGAACGATTTAGTCACTCTCAGGAGCTCGGTGAACTCCTGCATTGTGCAGTGATAGGATGACAGCTGATCAATAACTCCAGGCCATAGATTCCCTTGCTACCAAATATTTCATGTTCCATCGTTAATGGCCTTATGAAAAG